GTGTCTCCGTGGCTTCCCGTGTAGGCAGGTGACAGGGATTAGTGCAGTGTTTCTGAGGAACAGAGGAAAGCAAGGATGACCTGCATAGGGATTTCCTCCTGCATAGCCCCTGGTGCTAGCTTCAGCAAAGGACTTTTTTGGACAGGCTGTTGAGGTGGAAGGGCCCAAAGCAGTGTGTCCCCACTTTGTGGCAGCATCGGTGTCCAAATCGCTCGTGCTCTTCCTAAATCTTTGAGCCAGGCACAGTGTCTTCCCAGGGAAGGAAACAGCTCAAGCACCTCCTGAGCCTGAGCAAGCCTGACAATGGTCTGGTCTCTCCTGCAAACTCCATATGAGGGGAACCAGACAGGGAAATCAAAGAACTGGTGGCTCCTGCGTGCAACCCGCCAGCCGACTGAGTTTGCTCCCCTTTCCCTCCCCACTTCCCTTCCCAGGCCTAGTTGCTGGCTGGGAGCGGCGCACATTTGAACCTTCTCCCTTCCCCCCCAAGTTCCTAGCCTTGTTTTAGAGCCTGTTGCGGCGGGAGCAGGATTCATCTCATTAACACAGATTTATTCCTGTATAAACATTTCATTCCTTTAATTGCAAAGCAGTCATACTGCAGGCAGCAGTGGCAGTGGCTCCATTTGCACTGGGCGTTGGGACAGTGCACCAGGTGTGTGAGCCTGCAGCACAGTACGCATGGCATGCAGCTGAGCACACACACAGTTATGACATGCCATGGTGTCTACATGTAGAAGTGTGTGCTGTGCAGTGCAGGACCAGCCGGTCTGCGTAAGTGTCTGGTCCTGAGCACCATGCTATCCCAGCAGGTCTGTGGTGTCCCTAGTTCTGTGGCAGGGCCGGAGTATTGCCCTCACTGCGCATAGGAAGGGTAGAGGCCCAGAGATGACCAGACCCTGATTCTACCAGCAGTGGTAACAGAACATTGAACAGGCCCATGTGCCAGCAGTCCCTTTGCCCTGTGACTGCACTGTGATGTGCTCACAGACATAATCACCTTGCTGTGCACCCTGAAAGCTCCCAGGTTGCTGGGTGCCCAGTGTCTCTGCTGTGCCGAGGGACAGCCCTCAGGCACGTGGATGGTGGGATGGAGTCCTGGAGCAGCAAGCCAGAGGCAAGGTCTTCTCAGGGCCTCTTGGCCCCTCTGGGGCAATGGGGTGTGCCTGGGGTCACCGTTTCATGGCTCCTGGCCCAACAGTACATAACTTGGGCTGCCTGATCTGTGGATAAGCATGTTCTCCAGGTCCCATTGCCTTGACGTATTCGGTGCTTGCTCAGACAGCACAGGCTGGGCTGTGGAGAGAGGGTCTGAGCCCTCCTGTCTGGTCTAAGCCAAACCCAGGGGAGATGCTCCCACCACTAGGGCCAGGGAGTCATCCCCCGAGGAGATCTGGGATGTTGCCTGTTTCTGCCCTTGTCACTCACTCCCCACGGCACTACCAAAATGCCACCATCTCTTGAAAGCTCCCTGGCAGCCCCCTCCTGGCAATAGAGCGGCTGTGGGGCCCCGCTCAGCCAGGCATCAGTGCAGGAGGATGCACCCAGTCAATGGTGTCTGCTGGGCTCTAAATACAGGGACGGCAGGTACGTACTAACTTGGTGCTGCAGTTCATGGTCTCTATTCTCCCACATGCTCATCCAAATGTTAATTTTATGGATGCCTTTATAAATCTTGCGGCTTTCCCCTGTCCACGGGCTACATAGATTTCATCTTGTTGAGAGGTGACACTTCTGGCCTTTGGTACCAAGCTATCAATTTAATACTCTGAGAGTAATAAAAGACATGGGACCGTATTAACACGCGATTACTCTGCTGCTCCTTCCTGTAACTCTTTCTGTGCCATCTGAATAAGTGCCTCAGCTGCTGGCAGAGCCACAGGCTTGGGCAGCAGCAGCTAGAGCCAGCCTCCCAGCTGGAATAACTACATGGCTTCCAAATTGTGAGCTGCTCTTCTCCTGCTTGCCAAGAAGATGGAGGTTCGTGCCCACCTCTGTTAGACCTGGCAACCCGGAGAAACGCTTGCATCCCACCTCTGAGACCCTTCCATGTGTTCTGAGCAGGGGACACCTGCAAGTCCGCCAGCCACACAGTGTATTGATTTGCCAGGCTGAAAGGAAAGGCATTTCTCTGCTTGCTGTGAGACAGCCTTGCTGCCGACGAGCCTGGAAGAACATGTTTAGGTCATTCCATCAATGTAAAGGTTAAATGTTTAGCTGCAGCTATTGAAAACAAAGCAACAGCAGCAGCAGCAGCAACAACAGCAAAAGAATTGGATGTCTTATCAATGTCTGGATTTAAGATCTGCGTCTAAGGACCTACCAGGTATACTGCACTGAGGTCCTCACTGGACGGTGCCCTGTGTCAACAGTGCTTGCCTCTCAGCAGTTTTTCGCCTGTGGGCAGCAGCAGCTCAGCCCCACTTCACCCCAGTTGGCAGCTTTGCAAAATGGATTCTTGGACTCAAATTTTTGCCTGGGGATTTTGAAGAAGCGTCTGATGTTTTAAAGCATGTCCATACGATTTCTGCTCTCTCTGCTGATTAAGAGGGCCTCTTTATGTTGTAGCCTTACTTTCAGCCACTCAACCTCTGTGAGAATGCCAGTGACCTACTCTAAGAGTTATTTGAATATAGGTCTTTTGTCAAGTAAATGTGGACCTGGAAGAATCATTTTTTTTCTACCCTGCACATCTCCTGTTTCAGTAAATCAGTAGATTTCTCATACGTTTAAGTTGTATTGTTTTGCAAAAAACACTTCATAAATTTATATTTTAGCATCATAAAGCAGGTTGTCTTTTGGAGAGCATGGGTCACAGCTTTCATGACTTCATAACAATTTGCATATTATTAAAAGAAAAAACTAAAACCTCAGCATAATGCCTGAATTCCCTCTTGCTGTCACATTTGTGGGCATGTCACAGCAACTATCCTGCTGCCAGGCCATTGTCTCTGGAGTCCGGGCTCACCCTTTGCAGTCCTGTGCCTAGAAGACCTCCAGGGTCCAAGGCAAACCCCAGGAGACACTTCTTTCAAGACATGGGCAGGGGTCCTGCTCCCTGTGTATTCCTACCTGTGCTCTGTCTCTCTGTGTGCCTTTTCTTGTCACCCTGTCTCCCCAGAATTGGAGATCTTCCCGGCTCTTGCTGGCATGGTCTGCCTATGATAGGGCCCTTAGTGCTTCAGCTGTGCTCCAATCACACCCTGCCAGACGAGGGGGCTGCAGGGGTCTTTGCCTGCTCGGGAAGGGTTGTTCAGTTCATAGTCCTGTCTGCAGCATCCAGAGAAGTACCAGGTGCTCAGCGTCCCCTCCTCCGTGCCCAAGGCCAACTGTTTGCTCCATGCAGGAGGCAACGGCTCCTGGCAGCAGCTATGTGAGAGCTGGCAAAGGGCTATGCTGAACAGGTCTAGGTGCTATGGCTGCCCTGCAGTGGCAGCTGGCACCTCCTCGGGGACCGTGCCAGGTGCTGTCACCCTGATGCAGGGTGTTGGCATTAGGCGCTGGTCTGTGCAAACTGCTCTCTATACCCTGTTACCCTTCTTCTGTTGGTCTCTGGCAGTTGCTGCCCCTGTTAGGTGAGTGTATGATCCCCTACAATCCACAACCAGCTGGCCCGAGTGATGAGAGAAGCACAGCAGACTGATCCATTGGGGGGACTTCATCAAAAGGCTCAGTGGGGAGCAGCTGTGTGGCTCTGCTGGCTCATAAACTGAGCTCCAGTGTGATGCCTTGGCCCCTCACACTGCTGTGCATCAGCCCAGCCGCAGGGTGCAGCCAAATGAGGTGGCTCTTGGGTGCAGGCACCCAGTGAGCACCCAGGTCCCAGCTGAGCTGTCACCTGAGTGGCAAGAGCAGATGGATGTGGAAAGCCTTTAAATTCAGCACATGATCAATACTAAACTGATCTTCTGGAGTCTCTTACAAGATTACCCCAGCCTCATGCATCCAATTGTAAAAAAAATCACTCGGCACACTACAGAGATTTGAGAAATGCTGCAGACCCTATTTAGGATGCACAGACCAGAGTAAGTGACTTCACAATTGTTTCCTGCAGTAAATAATTAATCCACTTTACATTTTGTTTTATTGCTACCCCCATGCCCCACCTCAGTTCTTTTCTACCAGTTTCCCTCTCTTGTCCTGAAATTCCTGTGCTGGGTAGCTTCTGTCATCGTGATTCCCTACCACATACATGTGTGTGCTTGCACACACACTGACACAAATCTGTCCTGGTCCAACTCTTACTGATTGCCGTACCAGGGAGAGCAGTGCTGGGGTAGAGACGATGCTGTTTTCACTGCGCAGCGTCAGGGCAGAACTGAGCTGGGCTCAGTCTGGGCCCTGGCCTGGCTTTGCCACCTTGATCTCTGCACCAGTGCTGCTTTCACATGGTGCCAACGTGCAGAATTGTTTGGAATGCATTAATGATGCTAATAGTATTTCTATACTAATTAGTAATGCCATTTGAACAAACTCTGTCTTTATGACACAAATTATGAGCCAGTTGGGTGTAGAGTGGGGGCTGCAGCTGACACACAGAGCGTGGCAATGAAGGGGTAGAAAGCTATTCTGGCATGGGACCAGGCTGCGGCAGGCACTCCTCACCTGGTGCCCATCTGGAAGCCCTGGGCTTCCCCGTGCAGTCAGAGCCATGAGGGACGAGGCAGCAGCTGGATGGGACCTGGTGTGTGGGGCATCCGCATCTGGGCTAGGGTGCCTGGTGGGCTCTGCCCTGATCACACACACTTACCAGCGTGGACTCCGGTGGGCTTGCTGAACCAGACAGCTCATGTGTGAATGCAGGTTGCTACAGCTGCTAAAAACAGGTTGATGGGAGTCCCTGCCATGGGATGCAGCTTGTCTGGCCCTGTCAGCTGAGGCAAGGCTGTTATGGGCATCTCTGAAGCCCTTGGCAGCACGCTAGCTCCTGGGGCATCCTGCTTCGGATAGCTTTGTGGAAAAGACTGGGTGCAAATTGGCATGTGTCTCTTTGAGCTTAAAATTGTTGGAATCTGGGAGAGTGTCGGGAAGAGTATCACATCTTCTTGCCCTGTCCCTGTTCTGCTCCAGGCAGTTGCTCCTGGCCGCTCTGGAGACACAACATGGACTAGAAGGACTCTTGGGCCAGACTTCTGCTGCTCCCTGTGGAAACCATTTTGACTGTGTCTGGAGCCCTGCAGACACCTTCGTGGGAGTGCTCTCATTTGCACAGGTGGGTGCTGTGAGGCTCTGATCCCACCTCTGGTTCTGTCCACCTCTGATCACTGTGAAGGGCAGGAGAGTTGAGATCACGGTGGCTGTGGTCTGACCCAAACTCCATCTTCAGGAATAGATCCTCCTTTTCAGGTGTTGCCCAGCCATCTCCACTGGCTCTTTTAACACTCCTTCCAGCAAGGCAGCAGATGGCCTTTTGGAGAGAAATGATCCCAGCATCAATACGATATTTTGCATGCTGGCTCCTTGGGATCTGTAAGTAAAGGCCAAATCAGAGTTGTTCTAATCCTCTGCTTTGAAAGGTGCTGGCAAGATCCCACCATCTGGGAGGCAGTGGCCACTCTGGGTGTTTTGGCACCAGGCCAGAATCCCTGAAATGCCTCAGGGGCATTTCTCGAAGTGCCCCTCAGGGGCAACTACTGGCCCTGGGGCTCTTGAGGGCTAGAGTGCCTCAAGCACAAGCTGCTTTGACAGTATCTGAGCACTGCTGCTCCTTGCACAGGAGTCTGTCTGCGAATGGGTTGCGTCTTGGGCATGCAGACCATTACGCTCCCAGCAACTCTGGCCCCTGCCCATCATGGGCCACGTCCCCAGGAGGGACCTCTAAGCTCCACAAAGGGAGTCTCCACCTGACTTTGGCCTGTGGTTGCCTGTTCTGTCACATCAGCAAAGCCTGGTCCCTAACCTGGGATCCTAACCAGAGTGGAGGGGGTGTGGAGGTGCACGCACAGCCCTGCTGGCCCCTCGCCACTCTGCTGGCTGCCAGTGAGTGAAGGTGGACGGAGGAGCACAGGGCAGGCACCCGGCATCTCTGCCATCTCTGGGGCCAGCCGCTGGAGCAGAGCACTCTGGATACCCCTGCAGATGACAGCTGGTGGCACTCACCACCTCCGGGGCCACCCTCAAGGCTCTGAGTTTGCTTTCCATTTGAGGCGTGTGCCTCAGCTTGACCCCACACGCTTCCCGTGGGTTTAGGCATGCAGTGCCCATGGGGCTGGCTGCTGGCAGTCCCCCTGTGCCACCAGAGAGCAGCCTGTGGGTCTGGGGCTGCACAGGGCTGCGTCAGGCTGAGCCGACAGGCCTGGTGTGAAATAAGATGAATGGGCTGAAGTTGGTGAAAATGATTCTAATTTATAATCTGCTGCTTTGTGGAGCTCCCCAATTAATTCTCTCTAGATACATAAGTAGGCCACATGTTTGCTTTGCTTCAAATGTAATAAACATTACACTCTGTCCCCTGCTTTTGGTGCTGGTTCCTGTCAGAGCGTTAGTCCCTATAGCTAATTCCTCACACCTGTCTCCCAGGCTCCTGGGACCTAGGCTGAGCATGGGGCGGAAACGCCAGGCTCCAGGAAACTTGTGGCATGGAGAGATAAATTGCTGATCAAAGGGCTAGTGCACAGTGCCTCTGAATATTTAGTCGCAGGCAAGGCAGCCCAGCCCACTCGGGAAAGGGCTTTGTTCCTGACGAGCTGTTTGCCTGGCTCTGCTCTGCGGCAGCAAGCAGCTGGGGTGGAACGGGGTGCTGGGATCCGTGCACCCTCAGGCCACAAAGAACTGGCAAAGGGTGGGGTGTAACACCAGTGGGGAGGCTGTTCTTTGCAGCCCTGCTGGGGTCTGGATGTCAGCATAGGGCTGCTGCAGAACTGAGTCGCTGGCCTTGTGCGGGAAGAGAAGTCTCTCTGACTGGTGCAGAAGTGGCACTTGCAGCCATCTTCAGGGTAAGGGTGCTGCTTGCCTCAGCATCATGCACTCCTTGCTACTGCTCCTGCCCTTCCCTGGTGCTACAGGGCAGGAGACGAGCACAGCCTCTGCCATGGAGCCAGGCCAGGAGCTGCAGCCCTGTTGCCCAGATCTCCTGGAAAAGCCAGGAGGATGTGGGGAAGGTCCCAGCAGGTAGGGGGGAGCCTGCCTGGGACATTCATGGCCCTGAAGTGTCAAGATGCCTGAAGAAGGGCCTGTACTGCCTCTACAGCGAAGGACAGTACCCCCCAAGAGTTTGGGCACTGCTGGTCCAGGAAGTGCTAGTACCTTTGTCAGGTGGAAATAGATGTGATAGGCAGTCCCTTGTTCCTTCAAAGGCCTCATGCATTTAAAAATAGAACCAATTTTGCAATGCCTTGCTGATCCCTCTCGCCTCCTTCCTCACCTGCTGAGGATGGAGGTTGATTCCAGATTTGTGAATAACAAGGGTGCAGAGAGGTTTGCATGAGAAAAAGCCAAGTGCTGGACCTTGGGCTTTAGTTTTTGTTTTGATTGTTTTGTGACTGATCACAATCTTCACTCTTCTACCTCCTTCACCTACCTAACAAGTCAAGCCCATCTCACAGGCACTGAGTATGAAAATGGGTTGAAAACCCCAGGTTTTGTCTTTGCCATCAATCACATCTATCCTCCATCTAAATTCCAATACTGCCAGGACTGAGGCAGCAAGTTCTGATGCAGAAGCATGCATAAACTTTTGCTGAACTAGTGACCCTCCTGTTTGTCCTGTTCCTGTGGCTTGCATGGTCCCTGGGCATCAGGAGACCTTTCCCAGGCCTTCCTTTCCTTTCCTTTCCACACCCAGGAAACATCCTCCATCCTTGCTTACTTGCCCCAGCCTGCTCAGCACCCTGGCCTTGCTCTGGTGCTGTGTTGGTTCAGCAGATGAAGAAGTGTAAAGTTGCTTTGCTTGTTGAGATGCCTTTGGTGGAGGGTGAATGAATTGGAATCAGTGTGTGCTGGGTGAAGTTCCCCACTTCCATCTGGTTTGATGCAATCATGGGTTATTGATTGCTGTGCAGAAAAGTAGGGGCAGCTTACTTGGCACTGTGTTTTCACCATCTCCAGAGGAAAGAGAACTTTAAAAATCAGTTTAGAGTGTAGTTTAATAGTGAATTTCAGCACTCCTGCCAGTAACAGCCAGGCCTTGCTCTTCTCTCTCACCTGGCTTTTCCCCTTGCATTCACAGCTTCTCTGCTGGCATCTCAGTGCAAGCGAAGCACTTGCCTGGCCTTGGGTTCCCATCCTGCCATGGGTGATCCAGAGCCAGCCACACTTGCTGGTGGTCCAAAGCCAGCCACTCTGTGTCCTTCAGTCTGCCTTAGGGCAGGGACAAATTCCTTGAGCCCTGGTAAGGGAAGAGGTGCTGGCTTCTCACCCTGCCCCACAGCACCCAGTTCTGTGCTTGCCGTAGGCGTGAGAAGCCTGGCTCAGCATCTGCAGTGTCTAACTGCGTGGAGGGTACGCACTTCCCACCTACCTTTGTGCTGTGGGGGTGAGCATTCACTCTGCACTCCCTGGGGAGGTTCTAGCAGGAGGAGCCGTGTTGAGGGCTCTCGAGGACAGAGATGCCAGCCTGGCCTTGGGGCACGTGGCCCCCCCTTTTCCTGGAGCCCCAGATACTGGCACTTGTGTGCCCCATGCAGGCCTGCCAGGGAGAGGAGCCAAGCAGCAGCTGTTATCACACGCACGCAGACCTTCCCATCTGGCTGCTCTTCTGAGGAGTGATCCATGCTCCCTGCAGGTGCCGGCCAGCCTTTACTGGGAGGTGCAGCCAAGGCAGGAGGTGCGGCTGCTCTGTCTACAGCCTCTTGGTGAGTAACAGCCTCAGCCTGCCCCCTCCAAGCCAGGTTGGTGCAACCCCAGCAGTGCCTGCAGCCGCTTTTCTCATCTCAGTTACGCAGATGGGAGCTGATACGGAGCCCCAGGATTTGAGTTGGCTCAGGCAGCTGGAGCTATGTTGCAAGAAGCTGGAAACGCAAAGCTCAGCCTGGGTCATAGTCCAGAGCATTGGGAATGGATTGCCAGTGGGCTGCAGTAAGAGGTTGCCCAAGGCCTTTGAGACTCTAAAGCCATTACTTCTCCCAACTGCTGTGAGGCGCAGTCCTCTCCTGAATCCTGCCCTCTGCCCTGCCGAGGTCTGCCAGGGCACTGGACACCGGGGATCGGGGATCTGCTGGCGGACTTGATCAGTGTCCGCATCGCTGCTCTCTGTCTGTCCTCCCCACAGCTGTTTGCAATGTGCCACTGGTGGCAGCTGAAGGTGAAGGGAGAGCTGCCCACCTGCCTGGACGGAGCTCAGACTGAAGACCTTCCCTGTGGTGTTGTCAAGCACTGTGACTGCAGAGCCACTGAGGCTGATCCAGGACATTGTCATCTCTCCTGTGTCTCCTGAAGCTATCCCCGGAACTTCTGGGAAGGGCTGAGCTAGTGGGTGCCCACCACCCTGTTGTCAGACCCTCTTGCTTTTGCATAGCCTGGCCGGAGGCAGAGGTGTGGGGCTTGGGCTTGCTGTGCTGTGGAGATTGAGCTGGGCTGCAGCTGTGCCACTGGCTGCAGATGCTTCTGCATGGCACAGTGCAAAGCAGCGGTACCCTCAGGTGCCTGCTGCTTGCTCTGTCCCTGGCAGATGGGGAGGGGTGCTGGCTCCGGGGGAGCTGTGCCAGGACATGTTTCCAGGCCTGAGGTGGGAGTGTTTCTGATCGATGCAGTTTGTTTCAGAGGTGACGGAGCACTCACTGCAGGAGCAGACTGAAGCTGGTGGGCACAGGGACAGCCAAGCTGGTGAAGCAAGACATTTTAAATGCTTTCATCCCAGCTCTCTGCAGTCTGTGCCTTGCCAGGAGCTGCTCTCTGTTTTCAGTTAGCTTTGTAACTGTGTTAGGTCCCAGTAAACAAGAGCTTTCCAAGTATTTTGCCGGAGCCAAGGCAGCTCTGGGCATCTTAGCCGTGTCTCTGGGGATGGGGCTGCTGCGTTCTGCTGGCACCATGACACAGCTGCTCTACACCTTGGCTTTGGGGATCCCCAACACCTTCTCTGGGGAGACTGAGCCAGGGGTCTGGCTGCGGAGAGGGAGAGGGCAGTCCCCTGACTGCCACCTTGGAGAGCAGGAGTGCTCTCAGCCTGGGTTGGACACTCTTAGCACAGCTCTACTCCCTCTGCACGTTTCCTGCTCTTTTCTCACTCCATTTACACCACAGAGAGAGGACAAAGGACCATGAGGAGTTAGAAGAGGTAACAGAGCTGAGCACCCAGGTCCACCAAGCCCCACCAGCCTTCTCAGCCTCAGGTTCCCTCATCTTCCGTGGTACCCCCTCATGCTCAGAGAGCTGCCAGTGTCAGACCCTGCTTGCACCCAGCTTCCCCATCCTGGCCTGGCTCCTGTCCTGAATATATTTTTACATTTTATGACTCTCAGAGGTTTTTAAATTTAATGGGTTCTTTTTTTTCTTTCTTCCTTCTTATCACCTGAGCTGGATCCTCTCTGAGCTGCTGCCAGCTCCAGGGATTACAAGTGAATAATTTAGGTCTGATGGTGTGTTTGAAGTTTAAGAGAAGGAAGTGGCATGTGTAGCCTGCTCCTCATTCCTGCCCCAGGGCCATGGTGCAGGGGCTGCTGCTGTTTCTCCAAAGGCAATTTCAAAGATTCCCTAAGGAGCCACACTCTGAACATTGCATGGCCCTGCGAAGGCATAGCCTTCCAGATCTGGCCTGGAGGTCAAGGGTCCCAGGGCACCACAGGGGCAATTGGCTCATTTTCACGTAGCTGCCCGTAACGGCTGCTGCTCTGCAATGAGGCGGCTCCGCAGCACCAGCACTGGAGGATCACTGTGTGTGCCATGGACTGAACCACAGCATCATGCCTGGGTGAGGGACTCGGAGTCTTGCTTGCCAGCCCAGGGCCAGGAGGCGTTAAATGCTAAACCAGTGTGTGTGTCTTGGCAGCTCTGAAGCACAGTGAAGCCGGCAATGGGCAAACATGACCTGCTGGAGAGCTGACTTAAGGGCTAGCTGCTGCTGGGCGAAAGGAGATGCCTCTAGGGTCACCAGCCTGTTGTCTCCAGATACTGGTGGAGGAAGGAAGGACTTGCGGTGTGCTGAGCAATGGCAATGCAGAGCTTTTGGCTGACCTGCTCATCTTTGCTGAGTGCAGAGCACACCGCTGCTTGACTCTCTCAGGGTGCATTGAACCACAGGGTGCAGAAGCAGATGAGACTTCCCTCCCCATGTCCCAGGGGATGTGTGCTGCCTTCAGTGGTCTCTGTAGTCTGTGCTTGCACAATGTCAAGTGTTGCTAGTTCTCAGGACAGGGGGCACAGAAAGATACTCTGGGAAATTATTTTTAACCCCCTGCAATTCACTGTTCCGAAAGCTAAGTCACTTCTGTTAGGGCTGGTTCAGTAGCAACCCCAATGGAGACAATCTTTTCCTCATACATATGCTTCTCTTTGCCAAGTGGCTCTGACAAAATTTAAGTACGGACTTTAGTGATTTCCAGGAGCTTTTGGAAGAACTAACAAGCATGTCACAGGGTCCAGCATTAAATCCTTCCCTGCCGGGATGCAGTAGAAAACGGAAACTGTCAGGCAGTTTGAGATCCACTTAACAGCAATTAGTGCAAATGAAAGAAGCACTAACGCGAAAGCCCTAGTCTCTGTGCTTCGGGTGGGAGGAGGAAAAGAATGTGTAAGAGAAAATGTAAACATGAAAAAATGTGGCTGTGTATTCCACAAAACAATGAATCATTTTAACATTTCCAATCCTTTTCACGCAAGCAGAAACAGTTGATCAATATGTGACAGAATTAAAGACCTGCAGTAAAACCTTGGAGCTGAGGATCTGTGAGAATTGTGAACACACAGACTAATCTGCAGAATTCCGCATACAGCGTAAAAGGAAAGGCAAGTGTAGGTACAAGAGCCAGAAGCTGCAACAGCAGAAGTCTGCTGGGCAAGAGGACTCCTCTGCCCACCCAAAGGAGCACCCATTGGAGGGGAGAAACCATCACTGGCAATGGATATGGAGCACCTACAGAAAGTAGGTGTATTTCCCAGAAAACTCCAAGTTACAACAAATGTGGCCCTAAACCATATCCTCATAAAAGCCTGCAAGATGAGATTCAGAATGTGTATTCATAAAAACTGCAGCCATAGCCATGGCTCTGGAGGACTTTCAGCCAGTAGGAGCATCTCATAGACTTTACCCTGTGAAGTGCTGAAAACAGTCAAGAGATGCCATTCTATGATCCTATGCCACAGCTAACTTCAAGACAAAGAATTTCAAGGTAGGTTAGGAGGATGGTATCCCTGGAAAAAGGAAAAGCAGGTGTACAACAGCTAAACAGGTGAGTACTTAGTTATGTGCACAAAGGGTGAGCTGGACTATGTTTGAATCTATTCTAAAAATACCTGTACTGGGCCATTTGAAAAGTATTAGGGAAGACACAATTGCACAGTTTGAAAATACTAACATTTTTAGAAAGTTAGGATCATTCTCTGGATCCTGGTAATTGAGTGAACAGAGAGGCTCAACATGATGCACTTACAACATGTCTTTTGGGATGTTCAGGTTCCTGCAGTTGCACTTTGGAAAAGCTGTAGAAGCTTATCATATACACAGAGAAGCCTGCTACTGGCAACAGCAGAACAATAAATGGCACAAGGAAAGCATAACTCTAAAGAGAACTGAGTACAACAGGGGCTGCCAAGGGGATGAAGGACGCCAGGGTATTGACTGGATATGCACATATATTGTCTGTTAAAAGCAGTGGATCTAACAGTGGTGGTGGCTGAGCAGGATTTGAGTCAGAGAGGACTGGGCATGATGAGAGATAAGCAGAGCTGGGTCTGGTGCTGCACCTTCTAGATGTAGGCACTGGACAGGGCTTCCTTTCCCTTCGGTGCAGGAGGGCTCTGCTGGTCCCTCCCAACCATATTATGGTGGTCTTCCCAATCCAGAGCATGTATCCTTCAGAGTGCTGGACTCGGCACTAGTGTACTCCAGAAGTGGCCAGATCACCCTGCCTTTCTGGGATGTGAGTCCAAAAACCATCCTAATACCAGAAATAAACTGTTTTCCAGCTTACATCCTCTCCGCAGCTTTTTGCAGCCGATTGTAGCTTTCACTGTACCACAGTTCTCCCACCATTGTTTTGGGAAGATTACGATTGCTTTGAGCCCTGTTTCTCTCTGCTCTCGGCTGGTGTCAGGGCCACAGAAGTGTGTATGTGTGTGAGAGAGAGAGAGAGAGAGTGAGCATACATGCATGTGTGTTTACTATGGAGAGAATGAGAAAAGGAGGCTGAATCATGCTCCTCCTGCCAGTTAGCCCTGTCCTAAGCTTTCCATGTAGCTGGGACTTTTGGATGCAGCCCAGACCTGGTAGCCCGAACCTCTGCCTTTCCCACATTTTCTTTGCTCTTGTTTGTTATAGTGCATGTCTAGGGCATAGCTTCATGGTCTGCGCGGGGAAACTAATAAGCATGGTGAATGGTCTAGAGCACAAGTCTTACGAGAAGTGGCTGAGGGAACTGGGGTTGTTTAATCTGGAGAAGAGGAGGCTCAGGGGAGACCTTACCACTCTCTACAACTACCTGAAAGGAGGTTGTAGCAATGTGGGGGTTGGTCTCTTCTCCCAAGTATCAAGCGATAGGACAAGAGGAAGTGCCCTCAAGTTGGGCCAGGGGAGGTTTAGATTGGATATTAGGAAAAATTTCTTCACTGAAAGGGTTGTCAAGCATTGGAACAGGCTGCCCAGGGAAGTGGTTGAGTCACCGTCCCTGCAGGTATTTAAAACATGTGTAGATGTGGCACTTAGGGACATGGTTTAGTGGTGGACTTGGCGGCGTTAGATTTACAGTTGGACTTGATGATCTTGAAGGTCTTTTCCAACCTAAACAATTCTATGATTCTAAATAACTGCCCCAACCATTAATTTTTATAGGCTGAGTGGCAGCATTTCACGCTGGGCACAACCAGCAGTGAAGATGAAAGCACGAAGCCAAATAGACATCACAGAGCCAGTACAAGTGCTATTTATTAAAGAAATGCCTGGATTGCAGAGGAAGCAGAAGGGTGCATCTTGAAAGGAACCTTTAACACCTGTGAGTGAAAAGCAACAAGGACTGGGAAGCAAGGGGAGCTGCCAGAGGCAACAGCTAATGGACCTGATCCTGGGGTGAGCTGGCAGAAGGGAGCATGTGGCTGGGAGCCAAAGGGCAAGTTGCGCTGCTTCATCTGTAGCCATAAAAGCAAGAGCTGAGCGAAGGGGCTGCCCAAGCTGAGCTGAGAGGCAAGAAAGTGCTGCTGGGGAAGGGGATATCCCCAGACTCCCACAGGGAACTGCTGTTCTTTACTAGGGTCTGCGTGGAGAAACTCATAAGCATGCACTCCTGTCAGCAGGATACGTTACATTTCTGCACCCTTCAGCACTGGAGCAGGGACTCCAGCTCCCGCCTCGTGGTCCACATCCAGTGCCTCAGCTGCTGAGCTCATCTGAGCAGACTCCCCATCCACCCCTTCCCAGCGCATCAGCATAGCCGCTCCAGCCTAGGCTCCAAGCCTTCCTTCCCCCATCACTGCAGATAGGCCTGTCCCATGCATGGACAAGTGTCCAGCTTCCAGCAGCTAACCAGGCCCTTTCTTCCAGCTGAACATACTCTGGCTAGGTTTAGGATACTGACAGGGGTGAGCACCACACAGACCACTGTTGCCTTCTGCAACACCTCCCTGGCCTCAGGCTTTGCGTTTTCCCTTGCTAGCCCCGTGACTGCACAGCAGCCTGTCCTGTCATGCCAGCCTCTCAGCTGGGGGTACTGTATGCGCATGCCTGTCCCCAGCCCCAGAGTTGCTCTGAGCAGCAGAATCTGCTGCATTAGGTCAATTTCAAGAGCCCCTCCAGGTCAGTTAGCAATTACCTGCACCAGATACGCGCTTGGAAAGGAGCTTCTGATCTCTTCAATGCACTCGTTTTCCTCTTTCAATTTCAAATTCGCCTCACTGGAAATAGGCACTTCAGCCTCTTTTACAGACCATGGTAAATTAGGATTTCGTCCAGTTCTGTTGGTTTTGCTGATATAGATGTTTTTCCCTACAGAGGCGATACCATGGCCAATCTGAGGCGTGTCCAGACCCCCTACATTCAAACTCTTCCAGCTGAGCCTGCAGGTGATGTCATGGTACATAGAGTATTTCTGCACAGACCGCTGGCCCTAGTGTGTGCTGAGCAGCCTCTCCCAGGATGGGCACCCTGGTGCCAAAGCTCTTGTTATCAATTCAGACTGGTGCCCCATGTTGTTGAGACATGGCCAGTGAGCAAAGGCATTCCCTCCCTTAAAGAGTTGGCTGCAGTGCAGCTTTCCAATCTGCATACTCCAGTCTTGTCCAGGAAGGAAAAGGACTGGAAAGAAGGAAAGCCGGTGTCTTTGCATCTGTTCTTATCCTTGTGCTGAAACCTGACTGCCAACAACTTGTCACAAAGATGTTTTCTACAGTGACATACTTCATGCTGGGCTCTTCCAACGTAGCACTGGTCACACTGTGGGAATGCTCCAGCTGGTTCGTTCTGCTGCTCAGCTGGGGAAGACACGTTCTGCTGCTAGTGCCCAAGGACATGCTCCCAAGGGAAGGGAGCTGCACTGCGATATTGCAGCTGGTGCATCTGTGGCAGTCTCTGGGGCCAATGCAGAGCCATCCCTAGCACTCCCCTCCACAGGCTCAGCTGGGAGCGGCCAGGGCCAGCTGTCTGCATGCAGGCCACAGGCTGCTGGGAAAGGAGTCTGACAGTTTGCTGCTAGCCTCTTCGTGGGGCTCCTGGGGGCTGGTGTGGTCAGACGATGCCCTATCCCAAACCAGTGGTTCAGTACTCAGAGGCAGAAGCAATTTTACATAAAGTTCAATTAAATATTTGCTTTATAATTGCACAACAAATTATTCATAAAGGCATTGGAATCTAATCACAAGGCTGACACTGTGGAGTCTGCAAATGACACAGTACTTGGGGAGAATAAAGATGGGGGAAGCTGCCATGCTCTGGTGACAGGCAGTGCCTAAATGTGTGGGATAGTGGGAACACTCCCAGGAAAAGACTCGAAGCAGCACCAAAGAGCCTCAGCAAGGCAGGGCTGTTTGGCTGGCAGGAGTAAGCGGGGTGGCATGTGAGAAATGGCTCTGGGCAATAGATTGGGGGTTTTGGCTCATACGTGCCCAGCAAACTTAGGGCAGCGCTGGGCTGTGCCCCTCCCAGCCACGTTGTGTCAGCTCCAGCTTCGCGTGGGCACGCTCTGTGGTGTGTTAAGGAGTGTCTCCAACTCTGCAGGACCTGTATGAGCACAGAATTGCTGCCTTCAGCTCTTGCCCCTATCTCCATCAGGAATTTCAGTGCCGGGCCTTTTAGGAGGTGCAGAGGCCTCTCCCTAGCAGCGGGGTATGAAGAAAGTCCTGTGGTGCAACCAGCCTGTGGGATCCATCTTTCTAGACCTGTGCCAGAGCAGCATCCAGGAAGAGGCAGGAGGCATCAGGGCGTGTAATGTGGCATCCCACATTGCAGCCCCCAGGAGACAGGCAGTGTGAGGCAAGGACATGCAGCTTGCGAGAGGTGGCTGCTGGGCACAGCAGGAGCAAATGTGACCACCCAGGGACCCTCTGCAGGGAGTTTGGCAGGGGGACTTGCTTCCATGCAGCCTTTATGGCATCCTGAGCTGCAGCTCTGGGAGCAAAGCCCTCTCTTCCAGTCCTAACACCCAGTGTTCGGCTCCTTTCAGGGTGAATTTGGAGGGCAGCAGGCTGAATCCTGCACCCCATGAAGAGCGAGACTGGTGGGACTGAGGTATGTGAATCTCTGTTCTGCTGAGATGAGGCGGGGTGAGGCCAGAGAATGAAAACAGGTCTGCTGAGCAGATGTTGAGCCCAGCTGCGACTGCAGCCAGATATTGCTTTGCCTAGCAAGTACCCATCCATCCCAGATTCTGTCCCCTGCTGTCATCCTGGGCAGTAGGCTGCAGACTGCCCCTGTCCCGCCAGGGAGAAGCCCTGCAGGGCACCCAGCGTTAGATAGGCGCTGACTGACAGGGGAGCTGGATCCTGGACAGAGAGCTGGACTGGAGATGGATTGCCTGCCAGCCAAATGTGGACATTAGACAGGGAGTTAGATTAATGGGACCTGGCTCTGCCAACAGAGAGGTGAGTCACAGAGCTTGTCCTGTGCTGAATCTGTTTCTCCAATAGCGAAGAAGGAGGAGGACTTAGCGAGATTAATCTCTTGTAGAGTTGTGAGAATAACCAGGATTCATGGGCTTCTCAGCAACAGATTTCCAAGTAAGCAGACAGCACTTTGACTTGCTCCATGTGACAGAGCATAGATCTGTACTGGCAACTCTGGAATTCCCTGCCACTGGTCACAGGTTAGATTGACCATACTTCTGTGCTCACACATGAACCCTGCAAAGCACAGGCTGCACAGAAGCACCAAGAAAGCAATGGCTTGAAAGTACTTCTTCCCTGAATTTTCCTGAAGTCCTTGTCTGCAGCTGCTGTACCGCAAACAATGCTGGACCCTGCACGGAACACATGAGAAAGTGGTAAGAAAGAACTCCTTCTGGCAGCTGCGGGGGGCTGGTGACACATCAGCTGGGAGAGTTTGCCAGGTCTCTGCCATTTTTGCATGAAGGAGGAGCCGGGAGCAGGACTGGACAAGAGCCAGAGCATCTTTCCTGGTGTGACCAACCCTTCCCTCTGGCTAGCAGTCTGTGGTACAGCAGGAGTGAAAAACCTGGCAGGAGCTGCTAGCGAGAGGGGAGGGAGAGCAGGGCGGTCATGGCTACTTTCTGGCAGGAGGTGATGGGGAGCTCTTGGGCACCCCGTGTCTACCCCTCCCAGCACCGAACTCACCAGGGAGGAGGATGAGCCCAGGAAGAGGAAATCTTAGTAAACAGGTTTTATGTTGTGATTACAGGAACTGTGGAGAGAGAACCTCAGTGCTAGTGAACCAGGGAGATTTTTCTTGGAGAAGGCAAATTTCTCTCCCATGTTGGGAGTCCTGTTTCTTTCTGATATTTCTTTAGTTGTTCATGTCATGGCTCTTCAGTCTGAGTAGTTTTACAAATGTGTTATAGAGATGAAAGCACCAGGGAAAGCTGCTCAGGATCAAGTTGGAAAAGCTTTTAACTTTCAACTCCTTACAGACAAAGGCACACAGAGGGAGGGGGGGAGTGCAAAGACTGGGAAAAGGAAGAGGAAGGAGCAAAAAGAGATAAGGAGAACAGATGAGTGAAAGGGACAGAGCAGGGAAGACAAATCACAAGAGAAGGAACAAGTCACTAGCAGAAAGAAAGGGAAAGACAGGGAGAGACAAAAGCAAAGGGGCCTGGAGCTCAACGAGATGGGGAGAGTATATCAGAATAAGGGAAGAGTGCTGCAAGTAGAGGAGAGCTAGGAAATACAAAAGAGCTATTTGAATGCTGGGATAAAGCAATGATGGGAATAAGAGGAAAGGAGAAGCCAGATGAGGACTAAATTCCCATGGAGATAAAGGGGATGGCAGCAAAGTCAAAGGATGACACATCCA